GGCATGGACAATGCAATCTTACTAGTGACTTCCTATTCCTTGTGGACACTTACAGAACTACTCCTTCTACTGTTCCAGTAAGCAGGACCAAAGTTTTTATTTTGAACATGATTGTACAGAGCAACCTCTCAGCCATTTCTGTGTCCAGTAATATTTCAAAGCGTTTCATATCCTTAATACAAATAGATTTAGACACATTACTCCAGAGGCAATTCTTTCCTTAGCATAACAATGCTTTGTATTTATCAAGAGAGGAAAGATCTATAAATCCTTTATCTGTGGTAGGAAAAGCAATTTTAAAGTAAGACTACGGCATTTTTTTTTTTGAGGGTGTGCGGTGGCTCAGCAATGAAAGAAGCTGTGCTTGTCAGCTAGAAAACTGATAGCCTGGGTTCAAGATCCAAGTTCCACACAATGGAGAGGGATCCTGTTCCTGCCCCAGCTCCTGCCCACCTAGCAGTTTGAAAGCCCACAAATGTGAGTAGATAAATAGGTACCATCTAATGGATAGATAACAGAGTTCTGTACGCCTTGGCATAATCATGCTGGCCAGTGGTGGGTTGCTACTGGTTCGCTCCGGTTTGGGTGAATGGGTAGCAGCGGCGGCGGGAGGCTCCGCCCACCTGCCCAGACGTCATCAAATGCGCTCTGCGCATGTGCAGAAGTGATGCGGGTGCAAATGAAGCAAGTGTGCACATGTGAGCAAACTGGTAGCAAAGGTAAGTGAAACCCACCCCTGATGCTGGCCACATGACTGCAGAAATGTCTTCGGATAATGCTGGCTTCCTCAGCTAAGAAACAGAGATGACTGCGCCTACAGTAGAGTCAGACACGATTGGACTAGGGAAACCTTTATCTTTATGGCATTTTTAAAAGAAGTCTGTTATTGTACGGCAGGGTTGTCAAACTTGCATCATCACGGCAGCATCATGTGATGTATCACAACTTCCCTCCCCTTCCCTAAACCGGGCGTAGGCGTGGCCAACACATGACGCATCCGGCCCGCAGGCCACGAGTTTGACAGCCCTGTTGTAGGGCATCCTCCATGTTGGTAGTGAGCGGTGCATCACCAACAAAATGCAAACTACTCACTAGGGAAGCCTGCAAATGAGTCATTATTTGTTGTAGGGCTTGTCAACTGTCAGCCTTTTGAGCACATAGATTAAGCAATCAAAGTTATGAATACTAATACATTTCTGCCTCAGTCTTTTTTGTGACTATTGTTTTGGTTATAGTTACAGATCTTCTTCCTGTTCCTCGAGGTTATTCTTACTACCCATTACATCAGATGAAGCAAGCTTTGGGTGAAGCTGTAAAACGTGTAATGCCTAAGAAACAATAGTAAGGGAAATACTGCATAGTAGTATTAATGCAAAAAGAAGTTGAGGTTTGCCATACTCATCCTCCAGGAAAACATCTTGGGTCTAAAGAGGTCAGGGATGATGGGAAGAACCCAAGTGGAACTTTATGGTCACAGCTGCTTCAGTTATAAAAATCAAGGTTTTCTGGGCCAATTGGAACCTATCATGATGACTTCACACTTTTCCATTTGTGCTTGCTACAAAATGAGAGCTTGCCAGAGGAGTTATAGGAAAGCTAAAGACCCTTACAACATGTAGATATTCAGGCAAGTCTTTTTCCATAGGGATCAGGGTAATGAATTCATGGAATTTGCTGGCTTATAGTCTGAAAAATTCTATGAAGGATTCTATTCCAGGATTGTCCTGGAATACCTGTGGACCTAGGGTTCAACAAAGGGTGAAATCCAGCAAGTTCTAACAGGTTCTGGAGAACCGGTAGCAGAAATTTTGAATAGTTTGGAGAACCGGCAAATAGCACCTCCGGATGGCCCCAGAGTGGGTTAGGAATGGAGATTTTGCAATATCCTTCCTCTGCCACGCCCACCAAGCCACACCCACAGAACTGGTAGGGAAAAACTTTGAATCTCACCCCTGGTTCAATATCCAAGATCCATGATGCTGAAAGAGACAGAATATGGAACTTCGTCTATTACAGCATCCCCTGAAACCTTCCCCATGCAGATGTGAGGCATATCATGAGAGATTTCTTTCAGGACTAGCACACGATGGTGACATAGTAAAGATCAAATTCATAGTAAATATCAAATTTAGAGTGCTGGACTGATTTGTTTATGTCTAGGAAATTTGCACCTTATCAATGATTTGCTAGTTTGATTGTTAAAGTATTGACTTCATGAGTCATCTTTAAAATAATGTAATCATTAGGAAATTTGGGGAAGTCACTCCTATCTCTCTAAACCAAGGAAGCTATTAGAGATCTATCAGTAGTTCCTTTAAAGTTTTTGACATGGTCTGGAACAAACTGTGGTAATGTTTGGCTGTATTCTTGATGAAACTGCTCAGTTTATCAAGGAAGGGTGTATTTGCTGCTGTGTCTGAAGCTACAAGACCTATTTCAGCTACCCAAAATGCAAGAATGACTGGGGTGGTGATGGGATTGTGTTTCTTGAGTGGATTTTATGGATTTAGGAAAATGAAATTGCTCTGATAAATCAACTTCACAGAGTTCGCAGTAGCCTTTTCTACCTCTAGCGCAACCTCTCCTTGCTTCTCTCCTTTAGTTCTCTTTCTTCCCTATTTAAATGCCTGAGCGCGTGCGAGAATCATTGGGTGAGATGGAATCTGAGAAGCCTTGCTCAACATTCCAGGAGATTGTCTTCTTGAGTATGTGAGCTGGGAATTTGCTTCCCACAGAAAGCCTCTTTGGGAAGTCTGAAGATAAAAGCAAAGAGGAAGTGCACTGACACTTTCGTTATAGTCATTTATAAAAGTTGTGTTCCCACTGGGTTCTGAATAGGGTGAGGCTTTCCTCTCCTGGAATTCTTCAAAATGACAAATGCCATATGTTTGATGAAAGCAAAGTAGGACAGCAGCCACAGGTTCCCATAAAAAATGCCACATATTTCGGTGTAGACTTTGAGATCCAAGTGAAGAAGGGAAGATCAAGCAAGGGAGTGAATTATTCCACGTTACATGTGTGAATTCCTGGTAAGGAGAAGGGAGCGATGGAAGGGAATGGTAAATGCAGACTGGCAAGGTAGGTGAACTGAAGGAATGACATCAAGGCTGGGAAGGAAATAGAAAGATTGGACAGATGATATGCCAGAACAGTGGCTGGCTAGAGCCACTGACTGAGTGGGTGAAACAATGAGATATGATCTATGGGCAGCAATGGCAATTCATTTTCCATAGCCTCCTCCAGTCTCAACCCTTCCTTGCTTACTAAGCAACTAGATAAAACAGGGATCCTCAACAGTCTTTATTATGGTGCTTAGTGGACTCAGACCTTCCTCAGAGCTTTTCTTCCTCTAAGAAAGAGCATCTCTTTACTTAACCATTGGGAGAGGAAAATAAAAAAACAGGACCTTTGGATTTAATACCCTGCCCACTATGTTAAATCAATGTACTGTAAATAAATAAGCAAATGATAAATTTCAAGGAATGTGTATGGAAAGGGATTACTATTATGGGATTATTCAAGCCCAATTAATTGAATGTGCTTTTCTAGTGTTTGCTTCATCTGAAGTCAGAAAATTGATTGACAACAGTTCTAAAATTCCATTTTTTCCCACTAAGTACATGAATTATGTAAGAGATTACATAGGGAAGAAAAGGAAAAAAGAAAAAAAGAAACAGGAAGGAATAGGAATGCATTTATCATAAAATGTATATATTTCCCGTAAATTCCAAACTTATTAGCTGGTCTGAATAGTCAATAATGCATAAAAATATTCAAATATATCCTGCAATTAAGGTAGCAGTGTGGATGTACCCTGCATTTAATTTTTTAATATTGGTGGCATTCACATAAAGCATATTGTAGAACAGTGTGAAACTTATTGTGGCAATTGTCTGTCTTAGCTTGAGGCATAAAGCCCATTTATGTAAAAATAAAATGAGTGTTCCTATGATCACACCTTACAATAAAGCTGGAGAAAAAGTAAATTTACTTCATCTTGCCCCCTGTTCGTTGTATAAATCCCCAACAGATTACTTCCTAGCATACACTATATTTCAGTAAATAACCATGGTCCACTAAATATCCTGTCTTGGAGCATACTTTCATTTCAAATGATGCTTTTAAAATATCACTTGAAAATGTAAAGTACACCCACATTATCAACTTAAAAAATTTCTTCAGTGAGTACACTTGAAAACTACTGGACAAAAATAAACACAAATCCTACCTGGATTAACTCCAAGGTACTTTAAGTCAAAGTCCAGTCTAGCAAAAACAAAGAATAAATATTAAAAGAATCAAACTAATTTTTTAAAAAAAACTAGAACAAAAAATAGTCATAGCCTGTCAGTGTCAAGTTTTCCAAATAAAACCATTTCAATGTGCTTTTCTTACAGAATCAAAAATCACTATTCTTAACTCCCAACTGAACTATGAGTTTTCATGGTGATATAATCGATTTGCTTTTTTTTTGAAGCAAGACTTTATAATATATCCCTTCCTTAGATTTTAGCCCCAAGTATTTTATAAAAGCCATAGCACAGTACATACAAGCTAGTTTGACAAATTAAATTCTCTAGTACATTCCTGGCCTGCAGGCTTTGCTAGATTTCTTGCAGATTTAAAAGAAATTAAAAAGAGGAAAATATTGCTAACGTATTAATGGCCAACTTTGTAAAATTATAGTTTCCAATATACCATATTAAACTAAAAATGGCTGAAAAAATAGATTTGAAAATAGAATCATGGTGGCGCAGTGGTTAGAATGCAGTATTGCAGGCCAACTGACTGCTCACTGCCAGGAATTCAATCCTGACTGGCTCAAGGTTGACTCCATACTTCCATGGTCAGTAAAATGAGAACCCAGATTGTTGGGGGCAATATGACGACTCTGTAAACCATTTAGAGAGGGCTGTAAAGTATTATGAAGTGGTATATAAGTCTAAGTGCTATTGCTAATTAACTGCAAACACTCCTATTGTAAAATGAAAATTGCTTACCACAAGTTTCCCTCCTGAAAATGCAACGAGCTTTTATTCACCACATTTTTTCAGCACTTTCTTTAAGAGAGTCTGCAAAAAAAGAAAAGACTTGCTCAGTTATGCCTTTCCATATTGATGGAACACAAACAATCCTAATATTCTGGCATTTCTCATAAATGTCTTCTTTTAAAACTACTGACATAAGTTTACTATGTGCAATACTGGAGATGGGATATTGGGCCAGTTCTCTTTTAGAAATTTTAACATGTTCTATGCTCAAAAGTTAAAACTTGTAGATAATGAGAGCTCCAAACTTTATTAGCTAAGCGAAGGGCTATCATACACTTTTCAACATACCGAAATTTCAATTAAAAAATTGAAAACATTTACCAATTATCAAATGTACTCAATCGCACAATGAAGCAAAATGTTCCCATAGAATAATGAACACTAACTGAGTGCTAGATACACAAATAAAAGCCCACAGGACTTATTTTAATTGCATTTCCATTAATTCTCTATTTTATATTTTTAACTTTTGCCCATTTTTCCTGAATATAGATTCATTAAATAAAGTGACATTAAAAATCTTCAAAAGGAACTATATTATTAAACTGGTTTTAAGTCATATTAATATTCCGTGTTACTTCAAAATTGTTTAGCATAGCTTTCTGGGTTGTTGGCTGAAGATGCATGAAAACACCAAAATATATGTTCATACAATATGACCATGGAAACTTGTCTCATCAATCATACCTACTTGACTGTAAACTTTAAAATTTCTGATCTTCAAATCCATCCAAATTCTTAATATTTTATTCTCTCACTCCTTTAAGAACATATATATTGCTATCACTATTTTATAGAACTCTGCAGGTTTATTGTGAATCAACGTTTATTGCAAACAGCAATAAACATTTATCAATTACAGAAAAACTGCTAGACATGCATGATCCAGTTTGGATAATTTGAAAATAAGAAGGCTAAGATAGAAAAATATAACTATTTGCCAATGCTAAAGAAATCTTTGTGGTAGCTATCCCAATTCTTCCCTTAAGCTATTGTATATATAGAACAAAATCCTTACAGTACAGACAATTTACACTGACAGAATAATTTTTATATTAATTATTGGAGAGAAAAAGCATGTGTAAAATGCTGCTGATAAAAAAAAGATTTAATATTTTTTCTGTAGTGACTCTAAAACATTTTATCAACTTTGTAATAAAATGCGATTTTGGAACTATGGTGAATTAGCACTTGACTAAAAGCCACTTAGATTGCAGATTATGCCTTGATATATATTTTCATGCCATAATCCAGTTGAATGTAATCACAGCTATTGTTGGTTAATAATAAATTGGATGGCCAAGGATTATATTGATCTGTATACAGAATTTCTGTGTTTCAAATTTGGTTCAGTGTATAACAAGTAAAAATTTCCCTCCAATTGAATTTATTTAATTTCCATATGAATCAAAGAGCATTCCGAACACAACACACAACGAATGCCATTATCTAAATTTTAATAATGCTTTACAACTCTTTCTTAAAGTTAGGTGTAGGAGTGGTAGAACCCGTGGGCAGGGTTAAAAGAGGGCTCAGCCTAGAATCCCTACATTGCCACAAATTAACAAAGTACAACTTCCCTTGAATTCTGTTGACCCTTATCTAATCCCAAGCAGTTAAAAAGATTCTTATGCATAGGCATGGTTAACATTAAATCAGTTTAATTGGACCTTCACACGTGGACCTGATTTTTCACACCTAACAGTAGGAGAAAATTCCAGAGGAGCTTGCTTTTCCTCCTAAGATCTTCCCTGGTGTTCTTCAGAGTTTGATAGATGGATTATCTAGGTAAGACATTTTTCTACTGACAAATGTAGATTAATTTTGGGACAATCACTTATTTCATCAGTTTTATGAATGCTTTTAAAAATTTAAAATTCAAACCTATAATTTGAACAGTCTAAATAAAAACTAACTGTATGACCTCCTTTATGTTCCAATTTAACTCACAATGAAATTAAATGATGTATTATTGTTTGAATTCATTTAGATCCCCTTTAAGGCAGAAAAGTATAACTGAGAAAACAGAGGAAAAAAATCCTCTAAAATTTTCTTATATTTTATACAGATAGTCCTTGAACTATGACAATTCAGCCCAAATTTCCACTGCTAGAGTTGTTAAGCAAGTTTTGCCCCATTTTACAACCTTTCTTGCCACAGCTGTTAAGTGAATTTCTGCAATTGTTTTTTTTTTTTGATAATTTGTTTTTAAATTTAAAAAAAAAATCATAAAACACATCTTTTCAAAACGAAGCTTTTGCTCCGGTCACAAATTAAAACAAATCATTAACAAATCTTATTTTCAATTAACACAACTCAATATTTTAAACAAATATTTCCCGCATATCTATTTATATAACTATGCCATTATCCCCAAAAATCCGTTACTTAAATCTTAAATCCTAACCAGTTATCAATTCATTTTTCTCTTTCATTTGCTTAGATGGATATTTTAACAATATAAATCATACAATTATATTAAACAGATTAAACATTCATTATTTAATTATTATTAAACCTAACTTATGCATTTTATCTTAACTATCACTCTCAACATACACCTCCTCATTCTAATTATCCCACCTTTTTTTATTATCTTTGATGCTAAACCAATCATTTCTATTTCTTGACTGTTAATCACAGCATAACCCTTTGTGTTGGCTGTTGAATATAGCGTATTTTTATTTTTTAGCCATTACCCAGCATGCCCTTTGTTTGGCTGTTAAACACAGCATATTAATTTTGTTTTTTGGCCGTTACATAGCATCTTCAGGTTTGTTTGGCTGTTTAACACAGCATCTCTATTTTTGTTTTTTGGCCATTACATGGCATATTAAGTTTTGTTTTGGCTGATAACCAGCATGACCATTTGTTTGGCTGTTCAATACAGCATATTTTAGCTTTTTGGCTGTTAAATACAGCATATTCATAGTTGGTTTAACAATCTCTACTTTTTTTTAAAAAATTTGATTTATATGCCGCCCTTCTCCGGAGACTCAGGGCGGCTTACAATGTGCTCAGCAATAGCCTTCATCCTTTTGTATATTTATACAAAGTCAGCTTATTGCCCCCACAACTGGGTCCTCAATTTACCTACCTTAGAAAGGATGGAAGGCTGAGTCAACCTTGAGCCTTGGCGAGATTCGAACCTGCAGTAATTGCAGGCAGCTGGTCTTAATAACCAGCTTAATAACAGGGTGCCTTAGACCACTGTACTACCAAACCTTTCTTTGTTGTTTCCCTCCATCTATGCATTGCTTTTCATCTAATCATATTTTTCTTTATCCTTTTTCATAGCATTCATAACATTTTAACTTTGAGACATGGTTCTTGCTTAAAACATATTTTTAAGTATATTTTTAAATTCCTTTTAGCATTTTCAATTAATCATATTCACCCTATTATTTACCTTAACATTTTACCATTAAAACATAGTTCTTGCATTAAACATATCTTTACATTAGTTTCATTTAACATTCTTAATTTCTATAAAAGCCTCCCTTTAATTTATTACAATCATCTTTACTTTATTTTATTTTTAATCACATTATCTTCATTTCCTCCTCTGCAAACATAAATTTCCTTCCATTTTCCAAGTTTTTAATTTTATTCTCCACAAGTCCAATTAAATCTCTTTTCATATTTTTATTCCGGATATAATGTATCAAATCTCTTTCTTTTAAGGCTGCGCTTAATCCTCCTTCTATTCCTGCACCAACATTCAAATTATTATTTGTTCAACTATAGGAGTTCCATTGTAGATTCCTTTTCTTTTCAGCAAAGTCCAGCTGCTTTCAGTCAGGAAAGAAAAATCCTCCTCCACAGTATTTTTTTTTCTATAGAGCTCAAAGTTCTCATAACAAAAGGAGGTTACAAAGTTCTTCTTTACGCCAGATGGTTTCTCTCTATAATCCACATTTCCCATTAGTCATGCAAGACTCTATTTTATTTCTTATTATATAACCATCCACTTTATTTTCTTCTTTTAGTTAAAAAAGTATCAAATCTTCTCCCCCCCCTTATTCCAATTCAAATTTTTAAAGTGTTTAGTTCTTTTACCATATCTCTAAATTAAGTCTCTTAGTTCTGTGCCAAAATTAGTTGTTTCCCGGGTCTTTGTTCTTTAAAGTTACAGTTTAAAAAATTTCCAAAGCCCCTTTGTTGCTTAGCTGCTGTTTTAGGCCAGGGGTCTTCTAGTTACTAATATAGCTCCAAACATTTTTACAAGCCTGGGCTGTTGTCACTCACCCGGCTTCAAAAGGCTCCGTTTTACTTCGCTTTCCTCCAGCACTTTTCTTGCCCGGTTGTCCCAGCTTCGTGGCAGCCGCCATGGCTGCCGTCCCCCACCATGGCTGCCTCCCCCCTGCCGCCGACTCACAGAGGGTTCCCTCTGACCTCCGAGGAACTTGCCTGTTCCTCTCGGTCTTCCGAGGCGCCCCTCTTCTTCCTCCGTCCCTGCAGGACAGGTTCGGTCTGCAGACCCATCAGCGGCGGTTTGGCAGCCGGGGTTTTTGCGGGACTCATCAGAGCCGGTTTTCGCGGGACTCATCAGAGCCCGTTATTTCCCCGACTGTCTCGCCACGACGTCAACCGGAAGTTCTGCAATTGTTAAATTAGTAACACAGTTAAGTAAATCTGGCTTCCACATTGATTTTGCTTGTCAGAAGATTGCAAAAGACGATCACATGACCCTGGGATACTGCAACTTACATAAATATGTGCTAGTTGCCAAGTATCCAAATTTTGATCACATGACCATGGAGATGCTACAAGTCATGTGAAAAATAATCACAAGTCAAGTCTATAACTTCGAACAGTCACCAAATGAATGGTTGTAAAACAAGGATTACCTGTAATCAAATTCAGCAATTTCATCATGAAATTAAAAACAGATACAAATGTACTTATAAGCTATGAACTATCATTAAGTGGCAGAAAATATTGGTACTGTGTTGCACAGACATGAATACAATCTTTCTTTCTTTTTCTAAATCTTCTAAATTGGCTCTTATTCCTCAGCA